GCACCTTAGTAATACAACATATTTTATGCGGCCGATTCATCACAAAAATGTGTAAATGATGCGGATGTTTTGAATTCCGTCCCCAAAAGTGCAAATCACACCACGCGCTTTTCTAGACGGGAAACTGTTCCCTTTCGTTTGGCACGGTTTGATGGATGGTGAGGGCTCTAACCACATTCACTGATGATTGCACCTCTGCGGTTTTATGTGCATTGAAAGCGACGTTCACCAAAGCGTGAAAAAAGCCGGACCGACTCAACACCAGGATGACTCACTGTCCTTGTTTGCTTGACTGCATCTCTCCAAACTTCCGGATTTTTCGCACTCACACACGTATGTACCGACCTATTTTCCAACTTTGAAATCCGTGGTCATGCGAAATGGTGTCTTTGCTTAGGCCATGGCCAACGCTGTTGAGTACACAGACAGAACGCTCAGCTGGGTCGATTTCAACAGACTGACCTCTATTAGATTGTGCATGATTTCGTGTGTTCAGCCTCCCCCGGGCGGTGAGGACTGTGTGAATCATACTGTGATGGACGCGGAAGGTAGAATAAAATGTTTTTGTTTTTCACTCATTCTGAGACCAGTACAAAGCGGCGATTGTGCTGGATTCGGTTATGAACAGTAAAACACACCTCTAGGATACTGTGTTATGAGCTGGCCTCTCGGTACTGCTTTATATCGGGTTCTGCAATTGTTCGATGTATTCATACCCTAACCATGTTTGTGTATACACTCGAGGTTTGCCATATTTAGCTCTGGTTCATGCCTGGGATAACGATACAACCTAATAATATCAACAGTATTCACGCATCATACCCCATTGAACCAGACTGAGAGTACATGTGTGTTGACGAAAGACGATCATGGAAAGCCACACGCAGTGTAAACCCCAGTGCTTGAATTATCCACATTCAACCTGGTTGTACAACCCCTTCTGTTGACAATGAGGGCATTTCAGTAAGATGACATTGTCTTTACTGTTTAGGGTTCAAATTTCTTCTTATGGGTTAAAGGGATAGACCGTTCTAGGTATGTTTGGGATGAGAACTGTTGATTACTCTCGTTAAAAAGTACTAGCTATAACAAACCTGCCTCAACCTCTCACCATAGGCTTATTTTACTTGCAGAAATAAACACGTGTTACACATTCTTCCGGTTGGCCGTTGATTTTCGAATTTACAGGAAGTGTTTCATATAAGGACCGTTTTTGGTTGAATTTTGCTAACTTTTTGAATGAATAAATCCACCAGATATGGTGAAAACCATTCAGTTGTGCTTTGGTTAAGAGGGTGTCGGTGCACCAATTGAAGCAAAACTTTGATTTGATCTATTTGGGTTGGGGATTTGAAACGGCGCTTTAACTTCAAATTTTAAGACCGCAGAAGCATATGTTTTTGTTGAAAATCTACCCCGGAAAGAGATAACAGTATTGTCATGTGGGTAATCGAGAAGATTCCTCTGACACATCGAAACATGCTTTGATTACTCATTTGCAAACGAAGTCGGTTTTGCGAACCCACCTAAATCTCTCGTTTTGTATGGTGCTTCCCAGGCAATTGAATGTGCTGCACCAGGCCGCCTCATGTTTCAGTTGGTCAGATATTCGAGACATTGCGATACATGTATAGACGTAATACACTACTCTGGGACTGTGCCTACCTGTTGAGCTCCAAGAAGAGCGAACTGGTCGTAAGCTGCCGTAGAATTTTCAGCAACCTCATGAGTATTGTATTACGTCTATCTTTTGAGTAGATTTTCAATCGATGTTTCGTTACGTTGTTTTATTCTCCTGCGTGCAAGTTTCCCATTTCCACAAACCTGCATTCAAGCGCAGGCGTTGTTGAGGACAGGTTGAATTGGTCGTCCACCTTACTCTATCTCAATCGTGATGAGTCATTCGAACCAAGTATGCTGCATTGCTCTGACCTACAGGTTGGCCTTAAAAGTACAAAAGTGTGAATGCGTGGGCGTCGGAACGACAGCAACACAATATACCTGCCATTCGATTTGGCAGTTGCCCGGTTGAGATAAATGATGTCTGACCTTGTGCAAGTTTGAGACTCTGCAGGGGGGGCGAAGCATGCAAACGTGGGAATTGATCTGTGGAGGGGACCGATTAGTTCCAACAGAATCCACGCTAATTTCGAAGTAAACCTCAATACTAAAACTAAACAGTCATGTGAAGAAAGCGCAGTGATCCGCTGAGGCGAACGTGAACAATCATGGACGAATATCGTTCCGTCTGATCCATGTGTGAACGGAGCTTGAAGCAACTGGGGGAATTGCAGGCCTCTGGCTCCACTTAGTTAGCAAGTAGGTCCGGGCTAGTGCAACCGAGAAAAGTACATTAAGGGTCTACTGCGGGTTTCATCTTGTTTGGCTCAGCTGATAGGTTTAGTCCCCGAATTCCAATGTTCCTTTGAGACTGAACGCAAAATGACTCATATTCCGGAACTGCCAACGTGGAAAAGGTTGTAATGAAACTCTAGTTGGTGATGGTTTTCAGCTCAATAGTGTGCGTGACGGGCAATTATTCATTTCGGCTAAGATCCAACTTATGAAAATACTTTATAAGTTGCTGTTAAGATAAGATTGATGAAGACAACGATAGTCTGCTCTGCTGTTTTTTAATTTGTGGCCATTACAAAAAGAACCTCTCTCGCAGCCTTCCGCATTCACTGCAAAGACCAAAAACGACTGAAGTAAACCGTCTGTGGTGTTGCCGCTCCTTTGTCTGCTACAGGACCACGTCAAACGTTTATCCGTCGGGTTCGTGCGGTTGAGTTGACCATCTAAGACTAGATGTTATTCTGTCTTTACCAGAGAGTTCAAAGTAGCTTTGCGCACTCAAGCCGTGCCGACGTTCTGTCAAGACGCGCCCAGGCATGGAAAAAGTATGTGCAGAGAGTGACGCATCCCCAAGGTCACCATCGGAAAGCAGGTGAGGCGGCTTAGCAACATGAAACCAGTGGAGTGGGGCTGGAACTGCTCACGACCGGAACACCGCCATTGGCTGTACAGAACGAACAAGTGAACGACCATACTTGGCCATTTAGTCATCCTGTATATTTACGCAGAAGCTCTGTATGTTTTGTCCTGACAATACAACCCTGTCCAGGTTTCTCTATCTTCTCCATATCGCGTAGTCCGGCAGGCTCAGTGCAGGCGTAACCAACAGACGGCCACCAACGTTACAACACGTTTCATCAAGAAGGGCCCCAAGAAGGGCGAAACCGGTCGTGGGCTGTCGATGGATTTTCGGCAACCTTATGAGTAGTACATTACAAAGGCATACATGTATCGCGATATTTCAAATATCATAGCGACTGAAACATGAGGCGGCCTGGTGCAGCACATTCAGTTGCCTGAGAACATCATAAACGAGAGATTCAGCTGGGTTCTAGGTAAGTCTGTCGAAAGAACCAAATTGGTTTGCAAATGAGTGTATGTTCGCCAATTTCGTGCAATTTGGTTTCAATTAGAACATAAGGTTGACGGAAACCCGGGGACTGCGCCTACCTGATGAGCCC